GCAGCGGCGCGCCTCGCGCGCGCCCCCTATTTGTTTACAAAACACACGTCTTAAAACGTGGTTTTGCCTGTGAGTGCCGCCCTGCCGCCGTATATGTACAGTGGCAGGGCGGCAAGTGGTTAACAAAACATATGTTCTGATCTCCAGGGTCTTGCTATAGTTGTGGTGGCCACCACTAGGAATTAGCTCTTTTTTAAAGGAACCCGAGAGAATGGACGATAAGGTAATGGGAGGAACAGGCTTTATATTATTGTTCATATTATTTTCATTGTAATTGGGTATATTAACAAAACATATTCCAGTTAGGTTTTAGATCTACTTGAAAATCCCCACCAGAGGCCAAGAAGCTGATAGCTAAGGTGTGGATCCAAGCTGGGGTGCCTACCTTACAACAATGGAAAGAAGAGAGTGATAAAACGCTCCAGTATAGGAAACCAATCTATGACCACAGAAGATGCCTGAAAATTTTCAGAAAATTGGAGGTATGTGGCAGGCAGATCCTTCTACTTGCTGTCCATTATACGGAGCATCAACTTGTGGCTGTTATGTGTTTAGGTCTCATGTACTCAGGCTTCAGTGCTGTAGAATCATTGGCGATTTGTTCTATCAAAGGGTGTAGCAAACTAGCTCATCAGAGTTGGACGCAGAGTTCCCCTTTTTCTTTTATTCCTCACACTCCCTGCCCCCCTCCCTTCCTGAGAGGCAAACGTTATCTCCTGAGTGACAGATGGTGGGGGGTCAACACAGGCTAGGCATTCCTAGTTTGGTGCCAGCCGCCTGTGTAAGTGTAACCTTTTTCACCCATCATAAAACTGACCAGCAGTAATTGAACATTCCTTAAGTCAGGCTTTTCCCCGATGTTTCATGTCATGGATTATGACAGATGTGGGTTCTAACTCAGAGTTCTCCTGACCCCTCCCAACACAGCGTAGTCAGAGCAACCCCCCCCCCCCCTTTCAGAGGGATTTTTAAAAAAGAGACAGGCTAGCAAGCCTAGAAGTTAGAGTGTAACAGATCTCCTCAGCTGAAACATCGTAACAAAAGGAGATCAACGAATCATCTTGCTCTGCAACTTGGATCTGCTACCAAGGCATATGGGCAAGTAACTTAACCCTGTAATTTCCTCCCTATTATCTCTTCGCTATACCTTTATATACATATATATATACATTTTAGTGACATCCCTTTGTAAATATTTTATTGCACCTGTTTGACTCTTAGTAATAAATCTTTCTTTCTGAAAGTGTTAAACTGTTTTTTCAGCGCTTATTTGCAATTCACGAATTCCTGCCTTTTGAAGAGACGCTACTGTGTTTGTTTAATTCTCTGCCCAATTGACCATATTGGACAGGTGACTTTTTAATCATTATAGTGTATATTTGATAACGGGAGTTTCCCAGTCTCCGACAAAAGTGGTGGTGGCAGTAGAGGGTTAGTTGCGTAATTAACCCGACCCAGTAACAAGCGCATTCAGGCTGCAGGCACCGATTGTAGCCCATTAGCTGGACAATCACTGTGCAGGGTGCAGCTGGGTGTGGCCTTGTTACACCGTGGTTTTTAGATCGGCCGGTCCTTCGGTCACGAGTTTGGTGAGAAGGTCTGGGTCTGACGCCGTGGGCGTAACGTATTACTGTTAGTCGCGGTCGTGCGATTGTCGCATGTTGGTGGAGGCGACCGTGCGATCTGTGACAAAGGGTACTATGAAGTTCCAAAAATCTAGGTTTTGGACAGCACACAACACTTTTGGTTTTCATAGTTTCTGATTATACTCTACAGTAAATATAGGGGCTTTGCTATATTATGTAGCATTTATTTCTACAAATATTCTGTGATTATGTCTCTTATTTCTTGTCTTCAGAAATTTGATAACTTTGGAAATTGTCTATGCAATACATTCCTTTTCTGTATGCTATATTGCAGAGACCTTATCTATTGTGTTGACTCAATGGGGGGGATTTACTAAAACTGGAGTGCGCAAGATCTAGTGCAACTGTACATAGAAACCAATCAGTGTCCAGGTTTTATTGTCAAAGTTTAATTGAACAAGCTGAAGTTAGAAGCTGATTGGCTATCACGCAGAGCTGCACCAGATTCTCAGTGATCCAGTTTTAGTAAATCTCCCTCAATATGTACAACATAGGTGCATGTAATACTAATAAAAACTCTTTTGATGAAACCATCACAACCCCACAAGATAAAAATCCAATCTCCTATCATTTTATTATAATGTCTTCATATTTTCTATGTATTTTATTTTAAGTTCTACCGTATTTTTTGCTCCATAAGACGCACCTGACCATAAGACATGCCTAGGTTTTAGAGGAGGAAAACAAGAAAAAAAATATTATGAACCAATGGACTGCAGAAATAGTACAGGAGATGACCAGAGACTGCAGACATAGTACAGGAAATGACCAGAGACTGCGGACACAGTACAGGGGATGACCAGAGACTGCGGACACAGTACAGGAGATGACCAGGGACTGCGGACACAGTACAGGAGATGACCAGAGACTGTGGACATAGTACAGGAGATGACCAGAGACTGCGGACACAGTACAGGAGATGACCAGAGACTGTGGACATAGTACAGGAGATGACCAGAGACTGCGGACACAGTACAGGAGATGACCAGAGACTGCGGACACAGTACAGGAGATGACCAGAGACTGCGGACACAGTACAGGAGATGACCAGAGACTGCGGACACAGTACAGGAGATGACCAGAGACTGCGGACACAGTACAGGAGATGACCAGAGACTGCGGACACAGTACAGGAGATGACCAGAGACTGCAGACACGGCACAGATGACCAGAGACTGCGGACACGGCACAGATGACCAGAGACTGCAGACTTTTGGGAAGCGGAAGGGGGGGGAGTGGGTACCTGAATTCAACAGGCACCCTCTCCCACTTACGCAGAGTTGTCCTTCCCCCTCCTTCCGTCCACATCTTCTGGGACACGTGACAGGTCCCAGAAGACTGCCGGGCCATTCACAAAGCGCAGCGCTTCTCGTGCATGCGCAGTGGGCACTCGGCTGTGAAGCCCCAAGCTGTTTCAAACAACATTCGTCCGTTCACCGAAGGTACAAAGAATTTTCGGAAGACTTTTCTTACGAATATTCTCCTCCGAAAATCTGCCAGTTGTAGTTTGGAGCCCCCGTAATAGAGGAAATGCGGGTACAATTCATGGCGGCTGGGCGAATGCTTGTGACCTTCGGCCAACAAATGTATCATAAGTTGACCCCCCAAGGGTTTTATTTTTTAAAGCCTCACATCCTAAAACTCATTCAGTTCACCACACTAAAGGGATCATCAGATACATTGTTACCTTCCTTACAACCGTGTAACGTAATCAAATCTGAGCGAGCTGCGTGCCCCCCCCCCCCCCGCTTCTGGTTGCTGTGCGATTACATCACATTACAGGGTGCAGGTCGCTCGTACCGCCATAAAGCAAACCTTCCCTCTTCTATACGACTTCATCTCATGTCTCTCCTTCCAACATTCCCAACATCCCTGGAATGTCTGTCAGACACGCCGAACACAAACGTTCATTTCCTTCCGTTTCGTCATTTATATAAATTTGTTTCATTTCATTTGTTTTTGGAATTCGTTTTGTTTTGCAAATCCATCCGAATTTGGATATTAGAAATGGGCATTCAAATTCTAATTTATTCTAATTGAAATTCGAATTTCGGAAGACACTTATATTCCTTCTATTTCATTCTAATCTATTCTATTCTATTGTTCTTTTTCAGTTCTATTCTATTCTTTTCTATTTCATTCTAATCTATTCTATTGTTCTTTTTCAATTCTATTCTATTTCATTCTAATCTATTCTACTGTTCTTTTTTTCAATTCTATTCTATTCTTTTCTATTTCATTCTAATCTTATCAGAGTTATTCTGTTTGAAATTCGGAAGACAGTTATATAAAAAAAATTTCTGTTCTATTTCAATCTATTCTGTTCAAAATTTGAATTTCAGAAGACAGTTATATTATTTTATTCTATTCTATTCAAATCTATTCTATTCGAAATTCAAATTTCTCTATCTCTTCTTGCGCAGGGTGACTGGTCTTGTCTCCACCCCCTCCTGTAGTTTTTTCTGCAGGCAGCCTGTAGTGGGTGGGGGTTCTTAGCCCCTCCCACTTCTCTCTTTTCTTGTGCAGGGTGACTAGTCTTGTCTCCGCCCCCTCCTGTAGTTTTCTGCAGGTAGCCTGTAGTGGGTGGGGTTTCTTAGCCCCTCCCACTTCTCTCTCTCTTATCGTGCAGGGTGACTAGTCTTGTCTCTGCCCTCTCCTATAGTTTTCTGCAAGCAGCCTGTAGTGGGTGGGGTTTCTTAGCCCCTCCCACGTCTCTCTCTCTGCTTGTGCAGGGTGACTAGTCTTGTCTCCGCCCCTCCTGTAGTTCTCTGCAGGTAGCCTGCAGTAGGTGGGGTTTCTTAGCCCCTCCCACTTCTCTCTCTTATCGTGCAGGGAGACTAGTCTTGTCTCTGCCCCCTCCTGTAGTTTTCTGCAGGCAGCCTGTAGTGGATGAATCTTCAGGGCCCCTCCCACAGTTCTGCTCTGTGTGCTGTCTATGTACAGCCCAGTGATGATGTCACTGGTGCTTTTACAAGGTAATATCTGGTTTTGCAAAGCTATTTGGTGCACACAAAGTGTTTTTTTAATGATTTGTAGATACTGAAGAATATATTTAGATGAATTTCTTTGTGCCTGGAGTTCAGCTTTGTTATCAGGATAAAGCCATGCCTTAAAAGGGAATACAAGTGTTTTCAAAGGTTCAAGTAAGGACACACAAGATATCAGCTACATTGTTACTTTCTTTACAACTGTGATACGTGATATAAATCCAAGTGTGTGAGCCCCCCCCCCCCCCCCTCTTGCTGAGCAGTTACATCACATCCCAGATCGCAGATCACGCCTAGAGGGGGAGCGCCGGATGATAAATAATCCGGAAAGGAATGTTTGTGAGCTCAGTAAGGAGAGGCTGACACCATGCTGCCCGCTCTTGTGGCTGGGGTCCTGGCTCTGCTGGCTTACCTCTACATCTCATCATGGAGAAGGAGACGTGACCTGCCCCCGGGGCCCACGCCGTGGCCCATTATTGGAAATCTGCACCAGATCAATAAGGTGGCTCCATACGACACCTTCACAGAGGTAAGTTGCAGTGGAAGAATTCAGTGGAAGAATGCAAACTTTGACTGTAATGTCTATCCTGGGGCATTTTCTGAATGCACTGGGCCCCTGTGCAAAGGTGGACCTCTATAAAATAGTCAGTGACCACTGAGCAATCAGTAACGGTGGAGACAGTAAAATCTTTAGATGTATTCATGGTCAGTAGAGGCTGTCTGCAGAAATAACCCCCTAGCAATGGTGGTCAGTGGCTGACTAAAAGAAACCCTCTCCAGCATTATGGTCAGTGGCTGGCTGGAACAAATACCCCCCCCCCCAGCATTAGTGGTTGGTCGCTGGGATACCAACGGCATGCATGCTAGGGGTCAGTGGCTGGATGCAAAAATATCCCCCCAATATTGGTGCACATTGGCTGACTTAAACAAACCCCCCCCCAGCATTTATGGTCAGTGGCTGACTAAAACAAACCCCCTCAGCATCTATGGTTCGTGGCTGACTAAAACAAACCCCCTCCAGCATTTATGGTCAGTGGCTGACTAAAATAAACCCCCCCCAGCATTTATGGTCAGTGGCTGGCTGGAACAAATACCCCCCCCCCCCCCCTCCCCTCAGCATTGGTGGTTGGGATACCAACACCATGCATCCTAGGGGTCAGTGGCTGGATGCAAAAATATCCCCCTATCATTGGTAGCCAGGAGTTGCGATGTTGACTGCAAAAATACCTTCCTATCATTGGTGCTCATTGGCTGGCTGAAACAAACCCCCTCCAGCATTGGTACTCAGTGGCTGGCTACAGCAAACCCCCTCCAGGATTGGTACTCAGTGGCTGGCTGAAATATACCCCCTCCAGCATTAGTACTCAGTGGCTGGCTGGAATATACCCCCTCCAGCATTAGTACTCAGTGGCTGGCTGGAACAAATACCCCCCCCCCCCCCGCATTGGTGGTTGGGATACCAACACCATACATCCTATGAGTCAGTGGCTGGGTGCAAAAATATCCCCCTAACATTGGTAGCCAGGAATTGCAATGTTGACTGCAAAAATACCTTCCTATCATTGGTACGCAGTGGCTGGCTGAAACAAACCTCCTCCAGCATCGGTACTCAGTGGCTGGCTGAAACAAACCCCCTCCAGAATTGGTACTCAGTAGCTGGCTGAAACAAACCCCCTCCAGCATCAGTACTCAGTGGCTGGCTGAAACAAACCCCCTCCAGAATTGGTACTCAGTGGCTGCTGAAACAAACCCCCTCCAGCATTGGTACTCAGTGGCTGGCTACAACAAATCCCCTCCAGCATTGGTACTCAGTGGCTGGCTACAACAAACCCCCTCCAGCATTGCTACTCAGTGGCTGGCTGAAACAAACCCCCTCCAGGATTGGTACGCAGTGGCTGGCTGAAACAAACCCCCTCCTCCAGCATTGCTACTCAGTGGCTGGCTGGAACAAACCCCCCCCCCCAGCACTGGTGGTTGATGGCCGGGATACTAACAGCACCAGGGATTGTTAGAATGAAAGCTGCATGAAATACTGGATAAAAAAAAAAGTGAAATGATATTTTAAAATGTATGTGAGATTTGTAGTAATTGGGTTTACATCGAATTAAAAGCAGGACTTCACTCCCTCAATCAACATCGACTATTTCTAATCCTTGCGTTGCCACCCTTAGCAAATAGATAGGAGGGGATGGAGGGGGGGGGGGGGGGGGGGGGGCGGAACACAGCGATCACAAAGTTCATTATTGAGAGATTGAACCAACAGAGAGTTGGGTAAGGATAGGTTCCAAAGGGCCATATGGGCAGAGGCAGGAAATCCGGGCAGCACACAGGGCAGTAATCCAGCACAATAGGATAGGCAGCAATTTGTCACAGCAAGGGTTAAGTCCAGCACCCAGGGAAGTACCCCTGGCACAGCAGGATAGGCAGCAATTTGGCACAACAAGGGTTAAGTCCAGCACCCAGGGAAGTACCCCTGGCACAGTAGGATAGGCAACAATGTGCACAGCAAGGGTTCAAATCCAGCACACAGGGCAGTACTCTCCGGGCACAGCAGGATAGGCAACAATGTGCACAGCAAGGGTTAAGTCCAGCCCACGAGGCAGAACTCTGGGTACGGCAGGGTAGCCAACAATGGGCACAGCAAGGGTTAAGTCCAGCACCCAGGGAAGTACTCCGGGCACAGCAGGGTAGGCTGAAATGTGGTACAGGAAGGGTTAGGTCCAGCACAGGGGGAAGTACTCCGGGCATGGCAGGATAGACAACAATGTGGCACAGCAAGGGTTAAGTCCATCACACAGGGCAGTACTCCGGGCACAGCAGAGTAGGCAGCAATGTGGCCTAGCGAGGGTTAGGTCCAGCACATGGGGCAGTACTCTGGGCACAGCAGGGTAGGCAGCAAGAGTTAAATCCAGCATACGGGTCAGTACCCCGGGCACAGCAGAGTAGGCAGCAATGTGGCACAGCAAGGGTTAAGTGCAGCATACGGGTCAGTACCCGGGGCACAGCAGAGTAGGCAGCAATGGGGCACAGCAAGGGTTAAGTGCAGCATACGGGTCAGTACCCCGCGCACAGCAGGGTAGGCAGCAATGTGGCACAGCAGGGGTTAAGTCCAGCACCCAGAGTAGTTAAAAAGTGCCTCCCAGTTGTTTCTCCTAGGAACTGCTACCCTCTCTGGTATTACCAATAGCCAGGCTACACTCAGGATGCCGATGATGTCATCACAGTAGGTATAAAACACTGATGATTAAATATGATTGGCTGTACCTTAAGGGAAATGCCTGCGAGCCTCCGTCACCTCCTGATCACCACACATCCCCAGATCGCAGCACCCAGACATAGCACAGTGGCACCTCGCAAGAACAGAAACAAGTAGACTGCCCTGGTGTAGCATTTTTTAAAAGCAAAACACATTTAACAGCATTTTATATACACTCACATGTATATAAAAAACAAATGAGCATATCCCAAACCAGCACAATGGCCGCGTTTCGTCCCTACGCGTTTCGTCATAGGCTGACGTCATCAGGGGCATATTTATACATATATATATATATATATATATATATATATATATATATATATATATATATACACACACACGCACATGTGATTGAGCTTTAGGGTGCGCACTTATGACAACAGGGTATATTCAGACCACAGACTGCAGACATGATACAGGAAATGTTCAGTCTGAAGATGTTATAGGAGATGGACATGCTTCAGGAGACACATTACATGAGACTGCTAGGAATCACTGCTATAGCGGCTATAGGGAAACACAGATTAGTGTCTACAGGGGTCCCAAGGGCCGCATGAAAAGTACCAAAGGACCGCATGTGGCTCCCGGGGCCGCAGGTTGGGCACCAATTTGATTGTACAATCTCCATTATATCTACCAACAACTATGTAGCACAGGGGCTTGCCTTATTGCATACAAATAAATGGTTTGTTTACTTTTGTCCTCATTACAGGAGATTGAATAGTGTAGCACTAGCTTAACACAACTTTAAATCAGGACATACTGTATACTCTCATGCTCATCTCCAAGATTTCTCCAGAGCTTCCCCCATTATCTGGAACTCTCTACCCCAATCTGTCCCACTATCTCTTACTCTGCCCACTTTTAGGCAATCCCTGAAGACCTCTCATTTCAGGGAAGCCTATCCTACCTCCAGCTAATAACCGAATCTTCTATTTTTCCTACCAGTCCATCCCCCACAGTTATTACCTTTTGTACCACTAGCCCCTCCCTCTTAGATTGTAAGCTCCCAGGATCAGGGCCCTCCTAACCCTCTTGTGTTGAACTGTATTGTTGCTGTATTGTCTCCCGTTCTATTGTAAAGCGCTGAGCAAACTGTTGGCGCCATAAATCCTCTATAATAATAATATACGAGTCAAACACCAAAAGTTCTGCCGATCAAACATGGTGTTCGTTTCATCAAACGATTGTGCCATCACTTGTTTCGTTTCTCTGAAAGAAAAAAAAAAAAATCCAGCATGTTGGATCGGGCATTTTTGACTGCGGCATGAAAATCTCACGTCGCAGCTGTCACACTAGTGATGTGAAAAACGAGCGATCTGACGATCGACAACAAAGTTCGTTCGGTTATAGAGTCATCTATGGCCTGTCTAACAGAGAACGTCACCAACAATACCAAACAAGACCCCAAACAAAAGAACAATTGGGTTTCCTAAGACAGCTGTTCAGAGTGTCTCATTGATGGGCCGTTGATGGTGCTAAATGGAAAAGCAGGAAATCTGTAAAATGATCTGCTGTGGAAATTGCCAAATAATTCAATTTTTTCTGCCCTCTGGGAGAATATGGGAAATAAGAGATGAGAACCAGAAGCTGGGCTCATAGCTGACTATGGGGGGTGATCTCCAAGCCAGGGTCCCAACAGAGCCTCCCTGTGTTATCACAAGGAATCCTCCCTGTTCTTATCTTAAACTACTGAACAAATGGAAGTGCTGGGATTCAATAGCTTAACAACAGACAACTGGGCAGGGCTGACACCAACAGGTCTCTTTATAAAATACACTCAAAAAAATGAAAGGAACACTTATTAATCCGAGTCTAGCATCACGTCCACGGAACTCCTGGGATATTGATCTGGTTAGGTAAGTAGCAGAGGGGGTTGTTCATCACTTTCAGCTGCTTTGGTGTTAATGAAATGAACAACAGGTGCACTAGATGGGCAACAATAAGACGACCCCCAAAGCAGGAATGGTTTTACAGTGGAAAGCCACTGATATTTTTTTTTCCCTACCCATATTTTCTGACTGTTTTTCACTAGTTTTGCATTTGGCTAGGGTCAGTGTCACTACTGGTAGCATGAGGCCATACCTGGACCCTACAGAGGTTGCACAGGCAGTCCAAATCCTCTAGGATGGCACCTCAATATGTGACATTACCAGAAGGTTTGCTGAGTCTCCCAGCACAGTCTCAAGAGCATGGAGGAAATTCCAGGAGACAGGCAGTTACTCTAGGAGAGCTGGACAGGGCCATAGAAGGTACTTAACCCATCAGCAGGACCGATATCTGCTCCTTTGTGCAAGGAGGAACAGGATGAGCACTGCCAGAGCCCTACAAAATGACCTCCAGCAGGCCACTGGTGTGAATGTCTCTGACCAAACCATCAGAAACAGACTTCATGACGGTGGCCTGAGGGCCCGACATCCTCTAGTGAGCCCTGTGCTCACTGCCCGGCACCATAGAGCTCGATTGGCATTTGCCATTGAACACCAGAATTGGCAGGTCCACCACTGGCCCCCTGTGCTTTTCACAGATGAGAGCAGGTTCCCCCTGAGCACATGTGACAGACGTGAAAGGGTCTGGAGAAGTTGTGGAGAACGTTCTGCTGCCTGTAACATTGTTCAGCATGACTGTTTTGGTGGTGGGTCAGTGATGGTCTGGGGAGGCATATCCATGGAGGGACACACAGACCTCTACAGGCTAGACAATGGCACCCTGACTGCCATTAGGTATCGGGATGAAATCCCTGGACCCATTGTCAGACCCTACGCTGGTGCAGGGGGTCCTGGGTTCCTCCTGGTGCACGGCAGTGCCCGGCCTCATGTGGGGAGAGTATGCAGGCAGTTCCTGGAGGATGAAGGAATTGATACCACTGAATGGCCCCCACGCTCACCTGACCTAAATCAAATAGAACCCCTCTGGAATGTTATGTTTCGGTCCATCTGACGCCCGCCAGGTTGCAGACTGCCCAGGACCTCAGTGATGCCCTGGTCCAGATCTGGGAGGAAATCCCCCAGGACACCATCCATCGTCTCATTAGGAGCCTCCCCCGATGTTGTCAGGCATGCATACAAGCACGTGGGGGCCATACAGACTACTGGGGACCATTCTGAGTTGCTGCAATGACATTTCAGCAAAATGGACTCGCCTGCTGCATCATTTTTTCACTTTGATTTTTGGGGTGTCTTTGAATTCAGTCCTCTGTAGGTCGATCATTTTCATTTCCATCAAACGATGGGGCGTCCTTACGTTCCTAACACATCACCCCGTCCATGTCAGTATAGAGATCCAGCAGGAGATTTGTCCCCATTGAGATCTGATGGGTTTTCAAAGTGTTCCTTTCATTTTTTTGAGCAGTGTATTTGCTGTACAAATAGGGTTGCCATCTCATCCCTTTAAAACCAAACACATTAATGACACAGGTTCTGAGGCTAATTTATTCCCGATAAGGCACTAAATGAATTTAATTACCACCTTAATGTAGAAGTGATTCCAACCATTGGCAGTCAATGTAAAAGTGACCTCTTCCATTAGTGGCCAGTGTAAAAATGACCTCTTCCATTGCTGGACAGTGTAGAAGTGACCCCTTTATATAGGTAGTGGATGTAGAAGTGACCTTTTACATATTTTCTCATTGCAAAAGTGATCTCTTACACTGGTGGTCAGTGTAGAAGTGACCCCTTCCATTGGTGGTCAGTGTAAAAAAAAAACAAATCAATAATTGTCAGAGTAGAAGCGATCCCTTTCATTGGTAATCAGGGTAGAAGTGACCCCTTACATTGGTGGTTAGTGTTAAAGTGACCCCTTACATTGGTGGCCAGTGTAGAAGTGAACCCTTACATTGATGGTTGATGTAGAAATAGTCCCTACATTGGTCCTTGGTGTTGAAGTGACCCTTTCCATTGGTGTTTAGTGTAAAAATGACCCCAACCATTGGTGGTCAGTGTAGAAGTGACCCCTCCCACTGGTGGTCAATGTAGAAGTAATCCCTTCCATTAGTGGCTCATGTAGAACTGACCCCTTACTTTGGAAGTCAGTGTAGCAGTGACCCCTTACATTGATGGATGACATAGAAATGGCCCTTTTACATTGTGGGAGTGTCCATTGGTGGCCTGTAAACGTGGGAGATCAATCTGCCATTGCTTTTCTCTCACTGAACCCCTAGCAAACTCTGGAGGAACCCCGGGGTTCCACAAAACTCTGGTTGAGAAAGGTTTCTCTAGTGTAGCTTTTATCAACATTTTTACCTCAGTGGAACACTTGAAACAATTTTCTTAAGGTCTTAAGGTCCCTGCTAAAACCAAATCATTGGGGGTGAGGGGGAAAAAATGCCCCTTACATTGGTGATCAATTGGAAGAATGTCAAACTTACAGACAGCTAACAAGATCTCCGGTGTTATTCTGCTGTCCCTGCCAAGTGGCATTGGCTCCTGAACTAAGCAGGCATCATCACATATAAAGTCAATTAGCCACAGCTCAAGAAGCCCTAGAAACCTGTTGAGGATCCATAGGATTTTGGAGAACCCTGGTTGGGAATAGTTGCTCTAGTGCAGGATTTCTCAACCAGGGTTCCTCCAGAGGTTTCTAGGGGTTCCTTGAACAATCTGCCTCTCAGATAAGTTCCCACTAACACCACTGATCTTTTTAGCAATCTGTAAGGGGGTAATTTTTCCCAATGACCACAAGTGTAAGAAACATTCTTCCCTCTGACCATCACACTAATGTATCATGAATTGTAGATATAGTCATTTTTAGCAGGGGTTCCCTGAGACCGGAAACTTATTTCATGGGTTCCTCTGTTTTAAAGAAGTTGAGAAAGGCTGATCCAGTCAATAAAGAAAGCATTGCTTGGGTGCCTCTGGTACAAATACCACTGGAGTATTTTTTATTAATGCACCTTCCAGGTTTAGTCTTCACCATGGCCTTCACGTTGGGCAGGCGGCCGCACCTCTTGCTGTTGTCTGGATGCCAGTACCCCGCCTCAGATGGATCTTGCACAAATAAAGAATTGTGAGTGTTGGTTTTAGGCACCGCGCATACAAGCGGGAACAAACAGTTGCCAGGTTGTGTTTGTAACTGTCTGAGTTATGAATCAGTCACCAAGGCTTTGCCAACAAATACCTGATAATAGTACTTTTCTTTTCCACTCTCTGTGGCAGCTTGGAGAGAAGTACGGGGACATTTACACCATCTATTTTGGGTGGAACCCAACGGTGGTTCTGTATGGATACGACATGCTCAAAGAGGCCCTGCTGGGACAAGCGGACGATTTCAGCGGAAGAGCCATCCTTCCTGTGTTTGCACGGGTTGCTAGAAGAAAAGGTAAATAATAATATGAAACATGGACAATGGGCTGTATTTTTTAGATTCTAGAACAGCAATGGGCAAACTACGGCCCGGCGGACCTTTTAATCCGGCCCGCGGAGCTAGGCTCCCGCTAGGCTCCTCTCACAGTCCGCCCTGAAGACCGGTGTAGCATGAAAATCTGTCTCCTATGAGGATCTGTCCCCCTCGACGTATCTGCGCATGTGCCAGAGATCGCCGATCGGCTGCTAATGCCTGAAACTGGCACATTCGCAGATACGTCGAGGGGGACAGATCCTCATAGGAGACAGATTTTCATGCTACACCGGAACGGCGCGGGAACACGGCGAGAGGAACGCGCGGAGCAAAGTTAAGTGAATTGACACAGGGGGGACTTGGGGACTTAATATGGGGGATGAAATAATATGGGGAATGAATTACTATATGGGGGATGAATTACTATGGGGGATGAATTACTATGGGGGATGAATTACTATATGGGGGATGAATTACTATGGGGGATGAATTACTATATGGGGGATGAATTACTATATGGGGGATGAATTACTATGGGGAATGAATTACTATGGGGGATGAATTACTATGGGGGGATGAATTACTATATGGGGGATGAATTACTATGGGGAATGAATTACTATGGGGGATGAATTACTATGGGGGATGAATTACTATATGGGGGATGAATTACTATGGGGAATGAATTACTATGGGGGATGAATTACTATGGGGGATGAATTACTATATGGGGGATGAATTACTATGGGGGATGAATTACTATGGGGGATGAATTACTATATGGGGGATGAATTACTATATGGGGGATGAATTACTATGGGGAATGAATTACTATGGGGGATGAATTACTATGGGGGATGAATTACTATATGGGGGATGAATTACTATATGGGGGATGAATTACTATGGGGAATGAATTACTATGGGGATGAATTACTATGGGGGATGAATTACTATATGGGGGATGAATTACTATGGGGGATGAATTACTATATGGAGGATGAATTACTATATGGGGGATGAATTACTATGGGGGATGAATTACTATATGGGGGATGAATTACTATATGGGGGATGAATTACTATATGGGGGATGAATTACTATATGGGGGATGAATTACTATGGGGGATGAATTACTATATGGGGGATGAATTACTATATGGGGGATTAATTACTATGCTTACTATGGGGGAATATTACTATACTTACTATGGATGACACATACACATCATTCATCTACTCTTGGTCCGGCCCCCGGGTCCAATATATGAACCCATTGCGGCCCTCAAGTCAAAAAGTTTGCCCACCCCTGTTCTAGGACAAGTCTAAGTTCCTGGGCTGCAAAACCACGAATCTAGTAGAGGTTTTGGGCCTTTACAATTTCTTTACTTATGTGATTTGGTATCTCCTTCTATCATCCCCTCCTTTTATTGCTAGTTAGTTCAGCTCTAGCTAGACAAGCCTTGTTTCTTCCATGTTCCCTGTGTCAGTGTGTTAGTGGTTTCCAAAGACAGGGCTTAGGAAAGTCATTGTCCTTTATACTTCAAAAGATTGGAAAAGCATCCTCTGTACTACAGTTATCTGAAGTAAAATTGTGTTGGATTCATCGTCTTATTGAGGAGGTAACCTGCCTGTGGATGGTGACAAGTCAGCAGGTTACCATAATGTCCATATAGACTGGGTCTAAAAAGGTATATATATAAAGTGGCATTTGGAACAGAGCAGAAATCATGCAGAATAGGTGTTAGTGTTACCATTCAGTTTAGAGGTTAGGGTAGCTTTGTGTTAGGCTTAGGGGTTAAATGTTAGGGTAAACCATAAGAGTTTAGGGCTAGAGGGCTAGAGGGCATCAGTTGTCAAAGCACAGTTCAAGTGTTAGGTTTTGTGGAGAGGTTAATCCCGCTACTCCAGCAGGAGCTGCTGCTTAAATAAGGCATCACACCCGAGGCCAGTATGTGAGGCTGTGAATCTTCAGGCACTTGGATGGCCTGCACAGCATCAGAAGCCTGTCCTACAAACTCCAACCAGTAGGTGACTGTGAGCTGGTTGTTAAGAGCTTGTTTTAGATGGTTAGTTTCAGTGCTGCGTAACAAGTGTCAAGACAGCAGCTGCACCAATATGGTTCCTCCAGCTACACTATGTGGGATAGCCTATGAATGGCAGTAAACACACCTAAGAAGGGTAGGCTGACAGAAAGCTTCTGGTAGGACAAGGCCCCTCAGGACTTGTTAGAGCTGGGACTTGGCCCTTTTGAGTAGAAACCACATTGGAACAGATGAGAATGAAAAACTTGAATAGGACTCCCCAGGTATGAGAGTGGTCTCATGTGAGAACAGGTGAAGTGGGAGCCCCCAGGGCATCGAGTCTTAGAGCCAGTCAGTACTCACCAAGGACCCCCTCAGATGAGTGTTTGGGCTTTGATGCATGCTGGCCTCACTTTGCAACCCCAAAGTTCACCGCACTCAACATAACTGACCAAGAGACATGAGGATACCAGGAACAAGTATGTGCACTGCAAGTAACAGTCCAAAGGATGGAGCTGGTTGCAGACTCGGTAGACAAGCTACTGATAAGCCAGAGCCTGAGCCAGAGGTAAGTACACAGTAATGAATGGAAGGAAGCAGGCTGGTTAGCAGGAAGGCTCACTAGGAGCTTGGCAGCTGGCTTGTGAAACTGTTGCACAGGCAGCGATCAAGGAGTTGCACCAGTTTAAATAGACTGGGCAACAGGAGGGAGCCATTTTGATTGGCTGAAGCTCAATAGGTGTTGCCTGGTCTGCTATCTGCTACAAGGAGCATGTTGCTGTACATCCAAGAGTCCAAGTCCGCCTCTGCTCTCTCAGTGAAGTAAATATCTGTGTTCTGTTTCAGGAGTGGTTTTCTCCAATGGACCTCACTGGTATCAACAAGAAAGTTCTCCCTGACCACCCTGAGGAGCTTTGGGATGGGAAAGAGGAGCATTGAAGAACGAGTGACTGAGGAGGCCAAGTTTCTGGTGGACTTCTTCAGATCAAAAAATGGTAATGGGCTTTTTGATTTACACCAAGGTGTGTGATGACCATGCCTGATGCCAAAAATGCAAGCACCATACATATTTTAGGACATACCTCTTTTGTCAACATTGTATCTCCTTTATGCACACATCTGCTCTTTGTGGCAATGCCTGGCCCACCTGACTGTAGGAACACATGACTTACTTGGCAGACTTAACCCAAGAGACCCCTCACCCTCTTGACTGTTGGAACTCCTGGCTTACCTGGCCCACTTGGCTCAACAGACACTAAACCCACATGACTGCAGGAACACCTGACTCACTAGGCCCACTTGACTCAAGAGAGACCTCACCCACTTGACTGTAGGAACACCTGAATTACTTGTCCCACTAGACTCAAGGGACACCTCACCCACTTGACTGTAGGAACACCTGAATTGCTTGTCCCACTAGACTCAAGGGACACCTTGACTCTTCTGACATTTGACAAGCAACTAATGTGTGAAGGAGTTATAAGGAGGACCATGGAGGTACGTTCTAAAACACAGATTGTACAGAAGGGGTAGACTGATAAGGTCCAGGAGAACAGAAATAATGGTGGTGTTGCCCTTACCAGCTGCCCAGATGTTAGTCTTCTTTTTCCAATCTGTGCTAGAAATTTGACAAATGGAATTCCCAATGTTGTTATCACATATTCAGAGACCATTTCACTTCATGACCTCATTTCATGTTGTTCTTCACAAGGAAAACCTTTCAACCCGGGTCCTGAGCTCACCGCTGCTGTGTCCAATGTTATTTGCTCCATTGTGTTTGGAGATCGCTTTGACACAGAAGACAAGACTTTCCAGACCTTGCACAATATGATCCTCGAAAATCTGACCTTCTTGGGCAAACGGGGCTTCCAGGTGAGCTGGAGTAGTAATCCCTAAATGGATAACATTTAGTCTGGTCTGTGCACTCAGCATTATAAAGTATTGACATTTTTTAATGGTAATGGTGGACCGTGCCTCTACAGGGTTCAAAATGGCCCCTTCTAGTCTCTGTCAGAAGACCATATAAAACAGTTGAGGTTGTATCACGTACCTGGTGATGGAGGCCAATGGAGAGAGGGCTTCCCTTGCGGCTAAGTTCCGGACTCCCCTGAGAGTGGGACATCGGGAGTCAGGCCCAAAGTTGCACAGGTCGCCTGTAGGAGTGCTGGTTGGTGGTCCACTCAGAAGCACAGCTGGTGCACGGAGATAGGTCTGCAGACAGGAGGCGCCTGTGCGAGGTATGCAAACCCTTCTGGGTTTTAGATGTTTACTGGGTAGTCGGTTCAAGCCAAGGTCAGGTACCAGGTGGGAATCAGAGCAGACGTAGTCAGATGGGATAGCAGAGGTCATACACAGAGGAGCGCGAAAGAGAGAGAGTATCCGTAAGCCAAGCTGAGGTCAGATCAGGGGTAAAGCAGAGTAGACAGGTCCAGGAGCAAGCCGAGTCGGTAACAGGAAATCACGGGTCAAAGTCACAGGAAACAGGAACAGGGCACGGGGAGCTAGAGATCATCCAGCAACTTGAGAAAGTGATGAGCCTCCTTATAAAGGCCGTCGGGCACCAAACCGAGGCTGATGTGTGCTTCTGCGGCCATGCAGAGTACTGGCAGAAATGCCAGCTCTTCCAGAACTTCTGCCATGGACAGGACCCTGACAGGTTGTCACTCTGTAACACATGGTTACCATACATCCCTGTTTTGAGATGTGTGTATCCAGAAAACATATGCCCACCGGTGTAGCATACAAATTGTGCTACTCAAGAGCCAACCCGTCATTCCCACTGTGGGGGCGCCAACTCAAAGTGGAGCTACTGGACCCATTTGCACTTTCTTCTTGATATGTTCAAGGCATCCTAATCATACATACCCTTTGTACAATCTATTTGTCTTTATACTTTGAATGCCTGACCAATTGTCTGTGGATTTTATAAATGGGGGTGTGATTTTGTAGGTGTGGTTACAAATGGCGGAGGTTTGATTTTAGGGTTTGTAGTGGAAAGTGGGCATGCTCAGTAGGGTGTCTATAGGTGTTTATAACACAACAGAGCAAACTAAATGTCATTCAGTTGGGTTTTACACCTTAAAGGTTTATTGAAAAACTGGAAAAACTGGAAACTATGTTGCAGGCTTGTTTTAGAGCTTCAAATATGTCTCGTATTTCCATTCCCCAGCTCTACAACGCTTTCCCTGAAATTCTGAAGTGGCTTCCAGGCGAACACAACAAGATCTTCTTGAATGGCACCATGCTGCAGGAATTCTTGGGCAACCTCATCAAAAATCACGTCAAAACTCGAGACCCCAACTGCCCGCGAGACTTTGTGGACTCTTTCCTAAACAAAATAGACGAGGTAATTCCCCAAAACATCTCTTCTGGGAGCCAAAATGGTCTTCACTGCATAGAAGACTTCAGCCTAGTGCAGGTGTGGGCAACCTGTGGCTCTCTAGCTGTTGTGGAACTACATCTCCCATGAGGCATTGCAACATTACAAAACTGACAGTTACAGCTATGACTTGCAGAGGCATGATGGAACTTGTAGTCCTGCCACAGCTGGAGAGCTGCAGTTTGCCCACCACTGGTCTAGTGCGTTGGGCTTGTGAACTCTACCCTGAAGACCAGTATGTGCAATATCCACTAACAGAGCTTTTAGCAAGCTTTGAGCAGCTTTCACCAACCCTGCTGACCTCCAGCCTTTCCATCACAGTTGTACTACGCTCCTCTCCTGGACCAAAATGGCACAGCGCCACCCACTGAATGGAGGCCAGGTGGCACCTGCCTACATACTGAAATTGCTTACTCTGATTTCACTGCACACTGTGAGCTTCTCACAATGTGCATTAGAAGCTGCAGTAAGTCAAAAAGAGCTTACCTCATTTCCTGGCTGGAGGACCTCCAGCATCATCTAGCCTTTCCCTCCCCAGCCTGACTGTCCCTGGTACCGCCCCTTTCATTCATTGGATTTCAGTTCCCATGGAGGCTCAGCATGACATGTGGACATTACCTAGGGTGGTGCAAAATACAGCCTGCCTAGGAACGCCCACTCCTCCAGACTGACAGCTACCCATCAAGACTTTTTGAGATTTACATAACTCCGCCCAAAGGCCCGCCCACTGCTTGCATCAGGACTGAGTAACCCTCCTTCCCAAATTTCTATATTTTCGTAATTCCTCCCAAGAGCCAATCTACTACTTGCATCAGGGCGGAGGGCTCTGGAGAGGAGTATTGAGGCAGGGTGCTGTGATGTTTTCAGGAACCTATGTACAGCACCCTGCTGGCCCCTCCCACCAGCCATGATCTGCCTGCATTGCACAGAGAACCACAGAGACCCAATGATGGCATCAGGTATGTCAAGGAAATCAATGAAATACATTTAGGAAAATGTGTGAATCTTGGGTGAAAATATTCATAAATAGACCTCTTAGTCTTTACTTTCCACACCAGACCAGAGAAACATCCCCTTTAACCATTTAACTACCGCTCACTTATACCCCCTCCCTGCCCTGGCCAATTTTCAGCTTTCAGTGCTGTTGCACTTTGAATGACAATTGCGCGGTCATGCAACACTGTACCCATATGAAATTTATATAAAATATCTTTGTTTCTATTATACAATTTTGCAAACAGGTAACTTTTCTCCTTCACTGATGTGCGTTGATGAGGCTGCACGGATAGTCAGCACTGATGGGCACTGATGAGGTGGCACAGATAGGCAGCACTGATGGGCACTGATGAGGTGGCACGGATAGGTAGCACTTATGGGCACTGATGAGGTGGCGTGGATAGGCAACACTGATGGGCACTGATGAGGTGGCACGGATAGGTAGCACTTATGGGCACTGATGAGGTGGCATGGATAGGCAACACTGATGGGCACTGATGAGGTGGCATGGATAGGCAACACTGATGGGCACTGATGAGGTGGCATGGATAGGCAACACTGATGGGCACTGATGAGGTGGCGTGGATAGGCAGCACTGATGGGCACTGATGAGGTGACGTGGATAGGCAACACTGATGGGCACTGATGAGGTGGCGTGGATAGGCAACACTGATGGGCACTGATGAGGTGGCACGGATAGGCAGCACTGATGGGCACTGATGAGGTGGCGTGGATAGGCAACACTGATGGGCACTGATGAGGTGGCATGGCTAGGCAACACTGATGGGCACTGATGAGGTGACGTGGATAGGCAACACTGATGGGCACTGATGAGGTGGCGTGGATAGGCAACACTGATGGGCACTGATGAGGTGGAACGGATAGGCAGCACTGATGGGCACTGATGAGGTGGCATGGATAGGCAACACTGATGGGCACTGATGAGGTGGCATGAATAGGCAGCACTGATGATGTGGCATGGATAGGCAGCACTGATGGGCACTGATGAGGTGGCACTGGTGGGCATTGATGATGAGGCACTGATGGTGCTACAGTGATATGCAGCAATGATGGTCACTGATAGGCGGCACTGATGGGCAGCGCTGACTGACGGCACTCACTGGCAGCACTGACTGATGGCACTGACTGGCGGCATTGCTAGGCACTGATGGGCGGTACTAATGGATGGCACTGATGGGAGGCACTGCTGGGCATCACTGCAGGGCACTCTTCATCAGTGCCCTGATGATCAGTGCCGATCTGCTCTGTGACAGCGTGTGGAAAGTGCATCACATGATCAGCATAGGACAAGGTGATCACGGAGATCGCTGGGGGCGTGCAGGAGGGCGTGTTCTGGGAGGACGTCATATGGCGCTCTCCCAGAACTGGATAACCGCGCTGGAGCCGTCATTCGGTTACAAAGTGTTAATTAAATAGGCTGTGATGCTGGTAGGCGGGGCTTGCAATTATACGCTCACTGTGATTGGCATGCAGTGATGACATAATTGGGAGCCCCGCCTCCCGATGGTTGGTGCCAGGCACTGAGCCTGTCACAGTTTTGGGGGCACCAATGGACTGCCCCCGCGGAACAACATAGTGGCACATAAATGCAGCAGCGTGGTGTTAAGGCCGACCTCCGTGCTGGCCCATGTGTGATGAGGGCAGGAAGAGGTTAAATATGGCCAACTGGGTCTCAAGTTCTGTTCTTCCCCCCAGGAGGCGGGTAACCCGGAATCCCACTTTACCATGGAGAGCCTGACTATGACCACCTTCAACCTGTTCATTGCCGGGACCGGAACCACGTCCTCCACCCTCCGATGGCTGCTGAAGTTTATGATGGAATATCCCGAAATTCAGAGTAAGGATTGTATTCATAGAAGGGATATAATCGTCTTTGGGAAGGGGCCTGTCCAATATTGTGTGTGCACCATACAGTATGTGTTTTCAAACCCAGATATTACCTTGTAAAAGTAGCAGTGACATCATCACTGTGCTGTTCATAGACTGTGCAGAGAGCACAGGAGGGGCCCAGCTGGCTCCACCCCCTTCAGGCTGCCTGCAGAAAACTATAAGGAGGGGGCGGAGACAAGACCAGTCACCCTGCACAAGGAAAGAGAGCAGCGATGAGCGGTCTCTATCATAGGGCAGAGATGCTAGGTTCACTTTAATGTGAGTTTGGTTTGCACCAATCAGAGAATGGGAAGGGGGGAGGGGTTACCGGACGGTGGTGTTCTGACATGTGCGGCTTCCTTTGCAGAGAAGGTCCAGGCTGAGATTGACAACGTTATCGGCACGGAGAAATGTCCATCCCTGGAGCACCGCGTCTCCTTGCCGTACACGGACGCCGTGATTCACGAGGCGCAAAGATACGCTAGTGTGGTGCCCAACGGTCTGCCGCATGCCGCTCTGCGCGACATCAAAATTAGAGGCTACACTATACCAAAGGTACATCCAACCCATAGTCTACCCTGATCTACACTGTGGGGGAGGGGGCATTAGAGTGTCAGCTCCTCTGGTACAGAGACTGATGTGACTGTGGGGGAGGGGGCATTAGAGTGTAAGCTCCTCTGGTATAGAGACCGATGGGACTGTGGGGGAGGGGGCATTAGAGTGTAAGCTCCTCTGGTACAGAGACCGATGGGACTGTGGGGGAGGGGGCATTAGAGTGTCAGCTCCTCTGGTACAGACACTGATGTGACTGTGGGGGAGGGGGCATTAGAGTGTAAGCTCCTCTGGTACAGAGACCGATGGGACTGTGGGGGAGGGGGCATTAGAGTGTAAATTTTTTGTTTATTAAAATCTTGCAAACAAAAAACATCATAAAAATCATATTTACATATATACAGAATAAAAATATGTATTTTTAAACAAAACCAGCTTACTTCAGCAAAATAACAAATCCTGACCGTCACCTAAACACCCCCTCAGGCTAAGAAACGATTAAACATTCACCCCATACATTCATCCCACACATTCATCCCATACATCGATCCCATACATGCAGCCTTTCTTCAAAAATCTGATGTTACAAAATCTAGGGGACGTGAAAGGACAGAAAGAGAAGCCACGCCCCCAGAGACTGACAGACAGCAGCTACGGGGACCTGACATTCCTCCACGCCTTTGTCCAGGCTCCCGGCCGCCACCTGTCCTTCTCAAGACCCCGAATCTTCCCAACCTCACCCAGAATGTTGTTCACCACCACCTCGACAGGAAGGACTTTTTTGCGAATGGAAACCTGACACCGTGCATTCCACGTGTGGTAACGGACTACTAAGCTAACTAGAAAAAGTGTCTCAAAATCAAAATCCCGGTGAGTCTGAAAGGCACCGTAAGACCACTCCGCGTAACTCAAGCGGGAAAGGAAAGGGATCCCCAGAGCCCCACCCACCCGCTTGTAGACTTCTATATTGAAGGGGCACTGAAGCAAGAAATGGTCCATCGTCTCCTCCACCCCACCGCACTCCACTCTTGGACAACCACGGTTCTCCGCAGAGCGATGCTTCAGGTTGCCCTTCACATAGAGTCTGCCATGGAACGAGAGCCAGGCCAAATCCCGAAACTTTAAAGGGATTCTCTCCAGATTCATCAAACGCAGACCCTCCCTCATAACCGGGCCTGGGCAATCCCTCAAGGCCAATGGCTCGCTAAAGGCAGATTCAACAACCCTCCTCTCCAGGGCCTTCCTAGGAAGAGATTTAATTTCCTCCGCCGTCACTCGCCATTGCCGAAGCATTTTCAGACACGGGGCAACATAAGCCGGGAGCTTACCATGTTGGACCCTCAGGCTTTTTCACTGGCCCACCATTCTCCCAGCTCCGTAGAAAAGGCCTAAACCAGGACTGAAAAATACCAACCCACCCAGGCGGTTCCTCTGCCAGCATGCTACCAAAATTATGTTTCAAAAACATCAGAGAAAAGAAAACCACCGGGTTGACCATACCTAGGCCACCCATCCGCCTGGGAAGGTAGGTTACAGACCTCTTAATGAGGTTCAGTTTGTGCCCCCATAACAGCTGGAAGAAACAAACGTAGATCCTCGCATAGAGAGACACTGGCAAAACACAGACAAAGCTGACATACAGAAATACCGGGATCAGGTAAGTTTTAATCAGGTCAATCCTTTCCCTGTAAAAGAGTTTCCAATCCTTCCAGCTGGCCACCTTGGCATCGGCATCTTGTAGCCTGCTTACCCAATTTGCAAGGCCGTAATCACCGGGACCAAATCTGATGCCTAATACTTTAATTTCCTGCTGGGGCTCTGGGAAGGCGTCCGGAAGGGTAAAGCCTTCGCCTTCCTCTCCCATCCAGAAAACCTCACTCTTATCCTGATTGATCTTTGAGCCAGATGCCTCAGCATACTGTTCCATCACCGAGACCACCTCCTCTGCCTCCTGCGTCCCGGAGATGAAAACAGACACGTCATCAGCATAGGCCACGACCCTCAGAGGGGGCTCCCCAGGAATGCCCAAAGGAACTCCACACAACGGTCCGCTCTCTAACCTCCGAATGAAGGGATCGATTACAAACGCATATAGCAGAGGACTCAAAGGACACCCCTGACGCACACCTGAGCCAACCTCAAAGGGTCGTCCAATCCAACCATTCACAAGCATGAAGCTTTCAGCCCCTCTGTATAAGGTCTTTAGCCAATCGATAAAGCCCCCCTCCAGGCCATACTTGCCAAGAAGCAGCCATAGGTACTCATGATTGACTCGATCAAAAGCTTTGGCCTGATCCAATGCCAGCAGGAACTTTCCCCAGCCTGCAGCCCTGCACCGCTCCAGGGCCTCCCGGACAGCTAACACCGCTGAAAAAGTGCTTCTTCCCTGAACCGAACAGTGCTGATGGCGAGAAAGTAAATTGCCCGCAACAGACGATAAACGCCAGAAAATAATTTTTGCCAATATCTTCCTATCAACATTGAGAAGGCTAATGGGCCGCCAATTCTCAATTCTCGAGGAATCCTTACCCTTTGACAGAAGAATCACTGCAGATTGTCGCATGGAGGGAGAGAGCGAACCCTCTCTCAGACAGCCATTAAACACCTCCACCAATATGGGGCCAGAGTCACCTTAAAGTGCTTATAAAACTCGGCTGTCAATCCGTCTGGCCCAGGCGACTTCTTCATGGCAAGCTGATCAATAGCTTTCACCACCTCATCTGCCGTGATGTCCTCTGTCAAACTCACAAGAGAACTGCCATTTCCCAGTCCTGGAGTAGAGTCCAGAAAACCCAACATGCTTGCCCGATCGAGGTCCCTCCTACCCAGGAGGTCAGCATAATATGACCTGGAGGTTTCCAGGATCCCTGACTTGGACTTTGTCAGGGAACCCGTACTGTCAACCAGGCCCTACAACTGACTTAACTGCTCTACCTTGTTTGCAGTTCTGGTAAGGGTCGGGTGAGTGATATTTCCCATAATCCCTTTCCAGAACCAAAGAGGCATGCCTGTCATATTGACACTGCCTGAGCAAGAGTTTAACCTCAGAGATCGCTTCTGGATCCCCATTATTCGAGACAAGCCGATCGAGCTTCCTCCGCAGACGCTGGTAGGTGACATACTTATCAAGCTGTTTATTCCTTCCTATGGCCTTGAAAAACCCAACGATCCTTCGTTTTGTAAGCTCCCACCACTCGGACTTACTGCTGCAAACGTCCATGATTGATACCTGTGCCTGAAAAAAATCCTCAAAGGATTGACTCACCTTCTCATCGTCCAGGAGTGCCGAATTCAGCTTCCAGGTACCCCTCCCCTTAGGTGGTGTATCGGGGCCACTCAGAGTCACAGACAGAATACAGTGATCGGAAAACTCTACCGCCTGACACACTGGTGCCGAGAAGGCGGAGTTCCCCTTTAAAAAAAACCTATCTATTCTACTCTGACTGGAACCTCGCTGAAAAGTGAATCCCGTGTCGTCTGGGCAGCAATGAATGTGCACATCAACCAGACCTGCCTCTCTAGCTATTTTGTTTAAAAAAAAACCCGTCACAGTCCAGCCTGACTCCGGTCCCTCTCCTGTCCTTAGTCCTAGTGACGGTGTTAAAGTCACCACCGAAGACAACTTGCTGGGCTGTAAAAAGGAAAGGCTTGATCTTCATGAAGAGGCATTTCCTGTCCCATTTTGTCTGGGGCCCATAGATGTTAATCAGGCGCAGGTCCTGCCCCCCCATGGAGACGTCTAAGACCATGCATCTCCCCATTTCTACCTCAATAATCCGCCGACAGGTTACCATGCCGGAAAAAAGTACCGCAACTCCAGTGTAAGGCTCGGCCGCAAGAGACCAGAAGGAGGGGGCGCGCCTCCACTCCTTCTTCGCCATATGAACATCCCCCAAACTGGACAACCTGGTCTCTTGCAAAAAGAAAATGTCAGCATCAAACCTGCTGAGCAAAAATAAGGCCATGTTACGAGCGCTTACTGATTTTATGCTGGCGACATTAATGGTTGCCACCTTCAAAGGAGTGGGAACCGCCATCAGGATGATCGAGGTACCCGTTTCTTAGCCTGCTTACCCCCCTCCCTACTTGGAGACCCTACACGCTTCATAGTCCTCTGTGTTTCCTCCTCCATGGAAACCAGAGACTCATCCCCTGAAGATCCCTCATCCTCCACCTCAGATAACACTTCAAATGTGTTTGACACCTCCACCCTCCCAGGGTCAGGTACAGGCACATCCTTCTTCCGCTTCTTCTTCCCAGACTTCCTTTTTGCCTCCAACCACTCCATATCATCATTTGATAAACCGGCCCGCAAAGCCCCCTCCCCTTCCCTTCCACCATCACCAACAACATCATCCACCCCACTCTCTCCACTCACCACAGCAGTCCCCCCAACCTTCACCCCAACACCCCCACCATCATTCACTCCACCCCCCAGCGCCTCACGCGCTCTGACCCTCTGACGCCGGGGAGGGGGGGTCGGTGCAACCATACACATTGGTCCAGTTCCCTCCACAGCCCCCACTACCTCTGGGGAAACTGACACAGGAGGATCAGACACAACATCCACGGACACTGACTCAGGGGGCACAACACACGGAGATGACACATTAGAGGGACCATCAGACACTGGGACCACAGGGACAGAGACATTGGGGACCCCTTGCACAGCCTCCCTCTCCTCTGCCTCCTCCATGTCCAGACGAAAAAACTCTTCCACCAAAGCTGACTGGTTGTGCATGGCCTCAGGGCACCGGTTGTACGAATGGCCAACCTTATCACACAGATTGCACCTGATGATATTACAATCCTTAGCCAGGTGCCCCAGATCCTGACATAGGGAGCACTTCATCTCTGGACATGAGGAGGCGAAGTGACCCCGAGAACCGCACTTATTGCAGAGCTTGGGCTGTCCAGGGTAGAACACCACAATCCTGTCCTTCCCAATGAAGGCTGAGGAGGGCAGATGCTGGACCACATTCCCACACACATACAACCTCATCTGCACCGACCACCCACCAGTCCATATCCCTCTCTCATCCACGATCTTCCTCAGGGGTGCAAGTAGCTCCCCAAATCTCCTCAGCCAGACAGCCAAGTCAGCCGAAGGAATGGACTCATTCCGTACTAGAATGGTGACCGTCTTCACTAGAGGTTGGCGTGAGACCACCTTTGGGACGAGTCCCCTCCATTCCGGCAGACCCTTATACATGTGTTCATACTTCTCCCAGAATATATCCAGAGACTCGGGGTGCACAAAGGACAGATCATACTCATAGGATCCTACAGGGCTGATCAAGGCGAAGATATCATCCGCCCTAAACCCCATCTCCAAAATCCTGTCCACCACCGACATCCTGACCGGGGGAGCACCCCCACCTTCCCATCTGAGCTGCACCAAATTCCTCCTCCTGAAGGACAGGGGTGCAGATGGCAGACCTGCAGCAGACCTCCCCCCAGAGCTGACAACATGATGTGACCCCCTCCTCCCAGCCAGAGCCCCAGCATAGGTCTTATTTGCAGCATTAGATGTAGTGGACCTTAAAGCTGCACCCCGCCCATTGGCTGCAGGAACCTCAGAGCCCCCGCTCTGCAGACCACCATCAGAGGCAGCAGCAGTCACTCCATCCACCAACACACAGGCATTCCCCTTTCCAGCATTGCAAGCACTCTTATCATCCATATGTTTCCTTTCACTCGTGGCACTACTGCTCCCAGCAGACCCACTCACTCACACCAGATGCTCCTGTCTCCCCCTCCCCCAACATACTCCTCTTAGGCAAAAGCCTTCCACTCCTGGTCACTCTCCCCTGGGTTTCAGCAACCCCTTTCAGAGTGCTGCTGACAATTTCCCTCCCACCATTTTCTGCTGCATTTGCAGCCATCAGCAGGGATTGTCCAGCAATAGTCTCAGATCCCCCCTTTACCTTCCCCCCAGCAGAGTCCACAGTCCCAGGGTTTCCTGGTATCAGAGTCCTCAGTCCCAGCAGAGTGCAGTCCTGCAGGCACAGCAGCCATCTTCCCTGCAGAGCTCTGTGCACACACAGGAGGATTTCCCTCCAAAACACTGCAGTGCACATGGCTGTCCCACACTGGAGTCCAAAAAGGCACTTTTAATAAAGCGCGGCTTTTCTGTTTTTTTCTCCTTTACAGGACCAGGTACAGAGTCCTCACCGTCATCTTCATCCTCAGAGTCCTCAGAAAAACGGAAAGTTCTTCCAATTAGGGAAGACTCCAATTCCTCAATGTACTTTAGCAGCCCTCCACCATATTCCTCTACCTCCTGTGCTGATCCTCCAGCTTGCTGTGGAGGGAGGGGGGCAGAGGCTGACATTTCCTCCAGGGAAGCAGATCCTGAGGTGGATGGGATAGCAGGGGCAGCATCCAGGACCCCCCTCCTCACTCTCCACCCGTACTGCCACCGCCGATGCTGGATCCTTACCGGAGTCTCCCTTCATCTTCCTGAACCTCTCCTCATTCCGGAACTTTTCTCTGAAAGCTCCGCTCTTCTCCTTCAGCGTCTTTACCAGATTCTGCTGCTTCTTAATGGCGACCTCCAAACCCTTCATCTCCGGCTTCATGCTCTGCCTCTTGCTGCTCCATGACTTGTCATGGAGAACTTTCTTCTTCTTGTAGTCAGTTTTCAGACTCACCAACTTTTCCTCCTCCTTTGCGATTCTCACCAGATAATCAGCAACCCGCTCTCTAAAGACAGGGAGGGATTCCCCACTTTTAGGGCCACAGCCAAGGTCTTCAGGTGCTGGTAAAGTATGGGAAGGCAAGCTGGGTCCCTCAGGGGGAGCATGGTCTGAGCCTAGCCCAGAAGAGGCCATGTTTCTGGGGCCAGGCGAGCAGGCCTGGCCCCCTAGTGCCTGGAGAGGGAGAGCAACTGCAGCACAACCTCTCTGGTGCAGAGTGTAAGCTCCTCTGGTACAGAGACTGATGTGACTGTGGGGGAGGGGACATTAGAGTGTAAGCTCCTCTGGTACAGAGACTGATGTGACTGTGGGGGAGGGGACATTAGAGTGTAAGCTCCTCTGTACAGAGACTGATAGGACCGTGGGGGGGGGGACATTAGAGTGTCAGCTCCTCTGGTACAGAGACTGATGTGACTGGGGGAGGGGACATTAGAGTGTAAGCTCCTCTGTACAGAGACTGATGTGACTGGCTCAGTGATCTCTGTACAGCGCTGCGGTATATGTCAGAGCTATATAGATAGAAATCAAACCAATGTGTATCTTCTCAGGACACGCAGATCGTCACATTCCTGCACTCAGCTCTGTACGATAAGAAGTATTGGGATAAACCTGAAGAGTTCGATCCCGATCGTTTCCTGGATGAGAACGGCAAGTTTGTGAAGAATGAGGCCCACATCCCATTCGGGGCAGGTAGGTAGACGCGGACCAGAGATCGATCTTCTGGCATACATTGTAACAATGTGCAGTGTGTGTGTTTTGTTGATCCGCACACAATGTAACGTGACGTGTCGTGTGCGCACAGCTGGACTCCAGGCAGATATAAGACATGAATGAAATCATCGCACCAAGCGATTTGGAATCAGCGGCAGAATCGGCGCAATAAATTAGTGGGAAAACGCACTCGGGTGCCATTCATTCTTGATGGCACCCCAAATGCGCTGCAATATTGTTGCGGATCACAAATGCATGTCAAGCGCATGACAAAACAGTTCAACGCTCATTGTCCAAAATGCTGCATGGGACACGGGACTCGGGATTCATGCGCGGGGTAGACCATTCCAGTCCAAATCCAGGAGCGAGAACGCACTTTCCTGTTATTAGAGTTGTGGGCGGGAACTAATTCTATAGCTTCAGCCCCCATTTTTTGTGACTCCACCCCTTCCATTCTTCAATTATGGCATGTGCACAGAAATGCCGAGGGGCTCTGCCCAGCCATTGGGTTCTGCCAGGGCTCTGAAGATGGATGGGGAAATCCTGCACGTGTGCAGAGGGATGGGGAAATCCTGCACGTGTGCAGAGGGATGGGGAAATCCTGCACGTGTGCAGAGGGATGGGGAAATCCTGCACGTGTGCAGAGGGATGGGGAAATCCTGCACGTGTGCAGATGGATGGGGAAGTCCTGCACGTGTGCAGAGGGATGGGGAAATCCTGCACGTATGCAGAGGGATGGGGAAATCCTGCACGTGTGCAGAGGGATGGGGAAATCCTGCACGTGTGCAGAGGGATGGGGAAATCCTGCACGTGTGCAGAGGGATGGGGAAATCCTGCACGTGTGCAGATGGATGGGGAAATCCTGCACGTGTGCAGATGGATGGGGAAATCCTGCACGTGTGCAGATGGATGGGGTAATCCTGCACGTGTGCTGATGGATGGGGAAGTCCTTCACGTGTGCAGATGGATGGGGTAATCCCGCACGTGTGCTGATGGATGGGGTAATCCCGCACGTGTGCAGATGGATGGGGAAATCCCGCACGTGTGCAGATGGATGGGGAATCCCGCACGTGTGCAGATGGATGGGAAATCCCGCACGTGTGCAGATGGATGGGGAAGTCCTTCACGTGTGCAGATGGATGGGGAAATCCTGCATGTGTGCTGATGGATGGGGAAGTCCTTCACATGTGCAGATGGTTGGGGAAGTCCTTCACATGTGCAGATGGATGGGGAAGTCCTTCACGTGTGCAGATGGATGGGGAAATCCAGCACGTGTGCAGATGGATGTGGAACCTCGCATGTTTGCAGATGAATGTGGAACATAGCATGTGTGCAGATAAATAGGGAGCCCCACATGTGTACAGATGAATGGGGATACCTGCATATGTGCAGATGAATGGAGAACCCCACATGTGTGCAGATGAATGGAGAACCCCACATGTGTGCAGATGGATGGGGAAATTCTGCACATGTGCATATGGATGGGGAATCCTGCATGTGTGCAGATGGATGGGGAACCTAGCATGTGTGCAGATGGATGGGGAACCCCACATGTATACAGATATTTAGGGAACCCCACATGTATACAGAAGTATGAGGAGCTCTCAGAACTGGATGGACATAAATATAAATCCATTGGCTGGCAGAACACCCCCCCCTCTATGAATGTTATATTCTCAGGGAGGGCTTTGTGCGGAGTGCAGCTTTAACTTTAGGTTTAGCTTTCATTTTTAATCTTTCTTGCTTGTGTAAGTGATTAACCCTTTCCCCTCCCCCCCTCCCCCCTCTCCCCTCCCCCCCTCCAGGGAAAAGGGCGTGCATCGGGGAGGCTTTGGCCAAGACGGAGATCTTCATCTTTTTCATCAGCTTCCTCCAGAAGTTCAACTTGAAATTTCCTCCCGGAGAAAAGGGGCCCATCAGACTGATCGAGGGCGGGACCCGGGACCCCAGACCTTTCACCATGTGCGCCGAGAGCCGGAATGAATAAAACTGCTCTCTGATTGGCTGGCTGGAACACGATCAGTTATGGGATGGATGTGTTAAGGGATGGATTATGGGATGGATGGAATTATGGGATGGATGGAATTACGGGATGGATGGAATTACGGGATGGATGTATTATGGGATGGATGAAATTATGGGATGGATATATTATGGGATGTATTATGGGATGGATGAAATTATGGGATGGATGTATTATGGGATGGATGTATAATGGGATGTATTATGGGATGTATTATGGGATGGATGTATTATGGGATGGATGGAATTATGGGATGTATTATGGGATGGCTGGATTATGGGATGTATTATGGGATGGCTGGATTATGGGATGGATGGAATTATGGGATGGCTGGATTATGGGATGTATTATGGGATCTATTATAGAATGGCTGGATTATGGGATGGATGGATTATGGGATGGATGGAATAAGGAATGTATTATGGGATGGATGGGTACATTCAGGGCCAGTTCACACTAGAATCACACAGGAACGCAAACCGAACACAGATTCCTGTGCATTCCCGTGCGGTTTTGCAGCCCATTCATTTGAATGGGCTGCAAATCACACCAGAAATGCTTACAAAAAGTAGTGCGCACCAGTTTTGAGAAATGCATCATGCGATTTGGTGCCTGCAAACGGACTGAGTTTGCCATCTGCATTTGGAGTACCATTTACAATGTCTTGGCACCCGCAGCACTTTGCAAAGGCAGTGCGCTTTGAACACAGTGCGGGAAACGCGCACGGAAAACACCTTTCCCGCACCGCATTTTGGTGTTAACTGGCCCTCAGCCCGTCCCTGATCAGAGGTGTGTGTCTGCACTTTGGCTACTATGTGCTTTGGCTTTGGGTCGGACTACCTACAGGTTTCATTTGCTACCGCTAATACTGGAATGGGTATTGCCTCCATTTTTGTTTTGCTTTTTTTTTTTTTTAAAGTGGGTCCTACAACAACCTCCATCTATAACGTAAACCTCTGTGTCGGCCTTTCAAAAGAAGCTGCTGCCCTCAAGTCAGGGCTGAAATGGTATTTATCTTGCATGTATTATCACAGTTTTATAATGTTCATGTTGTTATGATCTATTTTATAATAAACGCAATCAATGCCTATTGAGTGTTTTGCTTTTATACATTTGATATTGTGTCAGTGCGATCTCTGTAACTGATCCGGTTGAGGTGAGATAGCTCAGTTTACAGACTCAGTAGCTTGGCAGAGAGTAACTCAATCCAAATGACATCCTGCAGATCATAGCAAGCTTCAATCCAAAAACTTGTGCAGATCATAACAGAAGAACATCAGATAGGTATAAAAAAAAATCATAGTTCCAGCAAAATACAGCACATGTTGAGAATAGAGGCTAAGTATCAAAAAGAAGGGTGGGACTAACTACATAGAGCCCCCCCCCTAGCTACAGAGTGAGGAGAGTACAAAATGATTTAAAGGCAAACAAACAATGCATGTGTAAATGATAGGCCTGTACAATTTAGCAATAATCTGTAAAAATGCAAAAAAAATCTTCACAAAAATATTTTCTCCAGTGCAACTATAGTGTGATGATTTGACAAGCTTTACTGCAGATTCTTACCTGCTTCTGTTCAGTAAATATTGATGCAGTCTGCTCCACACATTTTCTCAAACTGACCGCAAGGTGGAAGGGTCACATAATCTGTCTCAGCAGGGTTATATATAGTGGTGCACCAAAATGAAAATTCTTGTGCCGAAACCAAAATGTCTGTGTATGTGGGGGTGGGGAGGCTCCAGTTTTTTTTTTTATATATTTTTTTCTACTTTCATGTATATATTTTTTTTCTTTAACTTATGAATTTATTGCTATCACATAGGAGACCAGGGGCAGACTGACCATTCGAGCACTCGGGCACTGCCCGAGGGCCAGGGGTCAGTAGGGGGCCCCAGGAAATGCCCCTTGTACCTTTTATAAGCTTTTTTTGGATGTGCTTTGAGTGTGGGCAAGGACACAGGGGCCCCATGATCCCATATTGCCCGGGGGCCCCATGAGTTGTCAGTCCGCCCCTGTAGGAGACCAATAGTCCCTTATATGATAGCATATGAGTGACAGGTCCTCTTTGTAGGCGGAAGGGGGTGGGGAGAGGAGCAGTGTATACAGTGAGGTGGCAGTGTATACAGAGAGGTTCCCTCACTGGCTGTCACTATGTCGGTGCCGATTTTTAAATGCAATTGCTGTTTTTTTTTTTCTCTTCACTATAGCTCACAGAATCAGCTGTCACTTTCCCCAGAGCTAAAGGAAACTCTGTTTCTTTTAACTCTGGAAATTAAACTAAAAGGAAACATTGTTTCTTTTAGCTGGGGGGAAGTGACAGCTGATTCTCTGAGCTATAGTGAAGAAAAAAAAATCCGGTAATTACATTTAAAAACCGGCACTGACCTCGACATGTTAGGTATCTATTTACTCGGTGTAACATCCTCTTTTATATTTTATATAAAAAATGAGTTATCTGTTGTTTTTTGCATTAAAATTCATTAAAGTGTTTTTTTTTTTTCCCCCCAAAAAATGGTGTTTGAAAAACAGCTGCACAAGTACCTTTTGGCATAAAATATTGCAATGATCGCCATTTTATTCTCTAGGACAGGGGTCTCCAAACTTTTCAAACAAAGGGCCAGTATACTGTCCTTCAGACTTTAGGAGGGCTGGATTAGGGCCAGCGAAGATAGAAAATGTCCTGGCCCCAGCATCATCATGGCCGCAGGGTTGATGGTTAGTAGGAGGAGCAGTGCCCCATCATTGGTATTAGTGGGAGGAATAGTGCCCCATCATTGGTGTCAGTGGGAGGAATAGTGCCCCATCATTGGTGTCAGTGGGAGGAATAGTGCCCCATCATTGGTATTAGTGGGAGGAATAGTGCCCCATCATTGGTATCAGTGGGATGAATAGTGCCCCATCATTGGTGTCAGTGGGAGGAATAGTGCCCCATCATTGGTGTCAGTGGGAGGAATAGTGCCCCATCATTGGTATCAGTGGGAGGAATAGTGCCCCATCATTGGTGTCAGTGGGAGGAATAGTGCCCCATCATTGGTGTCAGTGGGAGGAATAGTGCCCCATCATTGGTGTCAGTGGGAGGAATAGCGCCCCATCATTGGTGTCAGTGGGAGGAATAGTGCCCCATCATTGGTGTCAGTGGGAGGAATAGCGCCCCATCATTGGTATCAGTGGGAGGAATAGTGCCCCATCATTGGTGTCAGTGGGAGGAATGGTGCTGCATTGTTGGTGTCAGTGCAAGGTATAGTGCCCTATCATTGGTATCAGTGGGAGGAATAATGCCCCATCATTGGTATCAGTGGCAGCAATAGTGCCCCATCATTGGTATTAGTGGGAAGAAAAGTGCCCCAACATTGGTATTACTAGAAGGAATAGTGCCCCAACGTTGGTGTCAGTGGGAGGAATAGAGCCCCATCATTGGTGTCAGTGGGAGGAATAGTGCCCCATCATTGGTGTCAGTGGAGGAATAGTGCCCCATGATTGGTGTCAGTGGGAGGAATAGTGCCCCATCATTGGTGTCAGTGGGAGGAATAGTGCCCCATCATTGGTGTCAGTGGGAGAAATAGTGCCCCATCATTGGTATTAGTGGGAGGAATAGTGCCCCATCATTGGTGTCAGTGGGAGGAATAGTGCCCCATCATTGGTGTCAGTGGGAGAAATAGTGCCCCATCATTCGTATCAGTGGGAGGAATAGTGCCCCATTATTGGTGTCAGTGGGAGGAATAGTGCCCCATCATTGGTATCAGTGGGAGGAATAGTGCCCCATCATTGGTGTCAGTGGGAGGAATAGCGCCCCATCATTGGTATTACTGGAAGGACTAGTGCCCCATCATTGGTGTCAGTGGGAGGAATAGTGCCCCATCATTGGTATCAGTGGGAGGAATCGCGCCCCATCATTGGTGTCAGTGGGAGGAATAGTGCCCCATCATTGGTATCAGTGAGAGGAATAGTGCCCCATCATTGGTATCAGTGGGAGGAATAGTGCCCCATCATTGGTGTCAGTGGGAGGAATAGAGCCCCATCATTGGTGTCAGTGGGAGGAATAGTGCCCCATCACTGGTGTCAGTGGGAGGAATAGAGCCCCATCACTGGTGTCAGTGGGAGGAATAGAGCCCCATCACTGGTGTCAGTGGGAGGAATAGAGCCCCATCACTGGTGTCAGTGGGAGGAATAGAGCCCCATCATTGGTTTCAACGGAAGAAGTACTGCCCCATTGTTGGTCTCAGTGGGAGGAATAATGCCCCAAGGGTAGCAAAGAACCACATCTGGCCTTTGGGCCGCAGTCTGGAGACCCCTGCTCTAGGGTCTCTGCAAGAATTTTTTTTTAATATTTACAGTACATTTAATGTTTAGGGGTTCTAAGTAATTTTTTAGCAAAAAATAGTGATTTAGTGCCATAAAAAGCCTGGTCTTCAAGTGGATATATATATATATCCATCCATTCAGTCATACCTGACCATGGACCGTCACTTTTTCCATGAATTCTCTTAGCAATTATTTTTACAGGGTAAGTTGCCAGGTCTTTCCCCAACCCCCACCATGCAGGAGATCCCACATGGCCAGGGATGAAACTAGGACAATTTAGACAGGAGCCAATTAACCTACCAGCATGTCTTTGCAGTGTGGGAGGAAACCGGAGTACCTGGAGAATATATATATATATATACAGTCAGGTCCATAAATATTGGGACATTGACACAATTCTAACATTTTTGGCTCTATACACCACCACAATGGATTTGAAATGAAACGAACAACATGTGCTTTAACTGCAGACTGTCAGCTTTAATTTGAGGGTATTTACATCCAAATCAGGTGAACGGTGTAGGAATTACAACAGTTTGTATATGTGCCTCCCACTTTTTAAGGGACCAAAAGTAATGGGACAATTGGCTTCTCAGCTGTTCCGTGGCCAGGTGTGTGTTATTCCCTCATTATCCCAATTACAATTAGCAGATAAAAGGTCC